ATTTGCTTCTTTGTTGCTGTTTCTCCATTGGGATGTAGGTAACAGCGGCAAGTAGCAGTTAACGGTTGGCTAATGGTTTTGATTTTAAAAAATATATCTAAGATTATTTAAAGGTTATTTTACAAAATGTTTCTTGCCTACCTTTCTTTTATTTTGCGCTGTCTCATTTATTGATGTCTGTTCAATGTGTGAATAAAAAAATGGAGATTGAGAGATGTAAAGATGTAACAAATACATAAAGAAAATGTTTCAGTGGGAGTTTATTTCTTGGCAAACATTGTGCAGTCAATTTAAGATAGTTATGAAGTTCTGGGAGGCATTTTTAAAAAAAACTTGAAAAGAGCCATGCTAGCTGTTTAAGCTAAGCTAATTACTATCAGGCACCATTCTGACCACACTGACTGTGTCCGAAATCACCACTCATTCACTCCTCCCTACTCCCCATCTAGTGAATTGTATGGAGAGGACTACATAGTGAGTTCACCCACAAAATGAAAACACTTTCGTATACTACTCTGATCATTACCTTGGCGCTGTTGATTACGTCATTGCTGTTGAACAATCGGTTGGTGGACTTTTTTTCTGCACAATGCATGATGGTATATATAGGCTTGGTTGTACACTAGTTTTCAAAATGCGAGTGGACTTTATAGGATATAATAATTCTCACTATATATTTGGACTGGAAAGGGCAAGCTCGCTATATAGTCCACTGTACCATACCATTAAAATGATATGTAGGCCTATCTTCTCAACCTTATTGCCAATGAGTGCAAATTCAAATCAATTCTAATAAAGATAAAGTTCCATCATTTTGTCACCATCCAATAAGAAAAAGGCTGACTGGGTATGGTTGTAACATGGGGAGAGTTGTAACAGTACCAATTCCACCAAATAGAGATAAGATAGGAGTTAGGTGATCATTTCAGTATTTACCTAGCATGGTGGTTATCAAGTCTGAAAGAGGTGCATTCAGAATATTTAAAGAAAAAACTGATTTTGAAGAAAGTACATTTTTTGACAAAGACTATTTTTTGTTTAGTATCTATACTATTGCAGATAGAATTGTTTGACTTTTATTAGATTGAAATATAGTTTCTCAGGCAACATGTGATGCATTTTTTTCTTTCTAATTTCAAACCACTGTCGTAATACAGCTAGCTAAACATTGGCTGACAGGGGTGGGGTGGGTTGTAACACTTCTTTTAAAAGTGTTACAGAGTGCCCTTTGCAGTCTGGGCCCACCAAACCTGCACTCCAGGGTTACCAGCATTAGTTTGTCAGCACTGTGATCAGTACTCCCCATTCACATGTTGTACACATATTGGTGTGTGTATCGTCACTGGACGTTTTCCATACTCTGTCTCCTCCGGTGGAGAGGGTAGAAAAGCGTATGGGCAGCTTGTGCCTGTGCGTAAAAAAACTCCCGGTACGCCAAAGAGTAAAATATAGAAGTGCTGGTATACATGCCGGTTAATACCGCCCACTACAAGCACTGACTGTGACTCTGAATACATAGACACACACACACACACACACATACACCTATTTTTATATATTTACATACACATACTGTTCATGCACGTCTGTTACAGCAAGAGTGAAAAATTGTTCTTTGATATCTTTGATACCTGTTTTGGAAGCTTATCATATAGTGTGGCATCTATTTTTGATTCTTTTGTTATGATTGTTACAACATACCCCGCTATTGGGGTAGGCTATAACAAGGGAACACAATGCATTTGAAATCACCTCACGAGGTCTGTGATATTCTTGTAGCGGATTGAATTGGTTCCATTTGTAGTGAACAAATGTGGGTACTTACAACCATACTCAGTCTCCCCTACATATAGTAGAAAATGTTACTTTTAATTGGAGTCAGTAGATGGCACTACTGTATAAAAGTGTATATGCAGAGATTTGCCAGGAAATTCACAGTTGTTGACCTTATGAGCATTTTTGCTCCCTATATTCACAGTTCAGTTTAAAAATTAAACTGATCGAAATAATTGAAGACATGCGTAATTCATGGCCTTCTGGTTATCTGTAGAATGCAAAATAATGTGTCACAGTTTGTATATAGAGCTGAAATAAGTTTTTGTTTCAGTCTTTCTGCAGCAGTGAGTAAAAGAATAAATGGGACCTGATACCAGCTCTACACAAACTGTTGTATGTCTGTCTATGAACTCCTCACAGGCTCTGATACTGGCACTTAGAAAGGGGAAAAAAACTTTACAATTCAGCACCAGTTCATTTGGTAATTACTGATCCAGACTCCACGGCTCCGGAGGCAGAAATACCTGCAGAAAGCGACAGAAGCAGAGAGGAGAAGGACGAGGAAGCACAAAACTACGGGAGAGGAGAGATGTCAAGTTAGTAACGTGTTAATAGGATAAGAATGCATACAGATGGAGAGGGAGAGGAGCTCAGTGCATCCAGGGCAGGCTGTGGCTCAGGAGGTAGAGCGGGTTGGCCGTTAATCGGAAGGTCGGCGGTTCAATCCCTGGCTCCCCCTGGTTGCGTGTCGAAGTGTCCTTGGGCAAGATACTGAACCCCGTATGAGTGAGTGTGGATGTTAGTTTCCGTTTGAGCACTTAGGCTCAGTGTATGAATGTGTGTGACTGGTGAATGCAGCTGTAGTGTAAAAGCGCTTTGAGTGGTCGAAAAGACTAGAAAGCTGCTATACAAGTACATCATGGGCAGGTAAGGCAGGGTCTGAAATTAGCACCAGGCAAACGCAGGTTGGTAGTGGCAGATAAAATTCATTTTTATCCAGTGGACGTAGAGATATTAATGCATGTATACATGCACATACATACTATGCAAATCTATCTTTATAAAGAGCTTGAGTCAGAGGGGGAAAGTGTCACAAAGTTAATACAATAATACTTACATTTCCTTAATGGATGATTAAGCGGTGGAATCTGACTGTGTATTTGGCTGTAGCCTACAGTGCATTTGAAATACTAGGTCTAATAAAAAAATCCAATTGCAGATTGATTGTAATAACAATTAAATTTTATATATATTTTAACTATCATAAAGGACATAATATGTTTGCAGTTACAAGTGAAGATGGACAATGTTGCATCTTCCATTCTAAATAAAATTATATAGCAGTCATTCCACATTCCACAAAATCGCACCTGGTTTTAATAGAACACACGTGTATTGTTGATTACATCAAAAAATTGTCTACCCTTAACTGTTAAAATTACATTTATCTGGAAAGTGATTTATCAGGTCTGTTCGTACAACAAATAGACCTGGACCTGTCTTGATGTCGGTTAACAATAGGAAATTAGTTTTCACACTGTGTGGTGCTTTTAAACTCATGTTTGTCCTTGTTTGTGTGTGTTTCTTTCACATTCCTCTTCATCTCTCCGTATGTGGATTGTGAAAGGGTCAACCTTCTTCCTTTTGCCTACGGAGGTGTTTCTTCTTCCAGTTTCATCTGTATTTTACCACAATAACTACCAACACATATGATATATGGTAATAATAATGACACTTGGCTCTGACTAGTGGAGATATACTATGGACAGATGTTTGGGCATGTGAAGGGGGGACTGGGGGCAAGTGGCAAACTCCGGGCTGAACGAAGACAACTCGGCATTCCAGTTGAGGGTGGCACTAAAAGTGCTTTCTAACAATGCATTTTAGCTCTCAGCTTCTTTAGGTAGTGCAGTTAGCTTCTAGTTCTGCCAATTTTACATTTCAGCTTCCATGTTTTTCAGCAGTATTGTTACTGACTGCAACTTTGTTGACGGACAACATTATCTTTTAAATTGACAAACATCTTTTGTGTAATTCAGGGCACAGTTCAAACAGGATCAAAAAATAAGTTGACCGTACATGTTTTTTTCCAAAGTAAGGTCCCATGGGCCGGAAGCGGAAGCACTGCTGGCTGTTATCACGTTAATGTTGGCTGCAAAAAGGCTACAGGCTTATTGTTGATTATGTAACATTATTGTTTTATTTAGTTATAATGTTACACTGGGAGTCTGGGGGATGTGTTGACTTACAGTAGTTAATAATCTGTCATGTCGCAGTGCACATTACATGGTTCTGTAAGTGAAAAACATGTTACAGTTACAGAATTCCTTCTAGCTATGCAGTGTTATAAGCAGCCTGGATTGAACGCAGCAGGTGATACAACATTCATTATAACCACGAGACTTGACTTGGACTCTAGCTCAAAGACTTGTGAGCATCTCTACATGATAACGTTAAATTTAGTACATTTATTCGACATGCTACATCAGCAAACTAACATTGCTCTTTGTGTATCTTCCACTGGAGGCTCAGCAATGTGAGCACAGTAATGGATGAAAACGGTCAGTGAGCTAGTCTAAATATTTTAAATGAGATTGTTGCTATACTTTATAACACTTAGATTGCAGTAAGTAACGTTACAGTGTTGTTAGTGGATGGGTTTTCTTCTGTGTTGCTGTATCAGTAAAATAACAATATATCTAAATTAAACATTTTGAAGCAAACAAGCTGCAGGTCCGCTGCCCTGCCTTACATCACATTCTTTCTTGCAGGCTAATATCAACACTTTGACATAATACCATAGACTGTATATAAAAATACTGGTGGTACACAGGATAGTAATACGGCTCGTGTTAGCTGGTGATGCGGAAAGCGATACAAATTTGCACTGGATAATGTTAGCAACTGCTTGGTGTTAGGCGGCGAGCTAACGTGACTCTCTGTGACTCCAGCTTTTCTGTTACTGACCGTTTTCACTTCACGTCATCTGAATGTCGTTTGGTCTGATGGACTTCAGCACATTAACCTTAATTGTTGTTTGTATCTTTACGTGGAGTAAATGTTGGAGTGTGTTGTGCTGGGAGCCGGTTGTTTTGTGGTGTTGGTGGACTGCATTTCGTTAGCTGCGGTGTTGTAGCTGTAGTCGGAGAAAGACTCAGGAGCGCACATGTAGCTACATCCCGCCCCCCTGTCCGCACATTAAAAGCAGAATAGTGGAGACAGGCAACAGAGAAAACAGGTGTGTGCTTTATTTCTAAGTGAGGTTAGAGCCCATTGACAACAAGGCAGTAAAAATTTGATTTATTTAGTGACTTCGTTGAAAAGCGACATATATCCCCTTTGACATAAAGTGTCTTTCAGTCAGTGCTCAGCAGGTAATACTTTAAATTGTGTTTAAGCTCTCCTTTCAAGGAAATGCCCTATTTTTCCCTATAATTTAATATAAATCAAATGACAGGAAACGTATTTCAGAAAATGTCTTTACATCATTACAGCTCATAAGGTTGTGTTATCAGCTTTTTAGCATCTTTTTCTTGGGTCAAAATTCTTTTGTTATTTTAGACCAAGTCTAAGCCGATTAAGGCTTGCACAAACCGTAGACTCAACAGCATGTTTTCTAGCTTACAAGGAATTGAAGAGACATGGCAACGTTTTCACACTGTTGACTGTGTTTGTATGAGGTTTTTTACTGTATGATATTGTGGGTAATACAAAGCAACCAAAAGATATTACAAAAACAAAGGAAAATAGAAAGCAGATTTGCACATTAATACCAATATCATGACCATATTGTTACAAGCCTTTCATAGTATGTGATTTGATAAAGCAACAAAAACCACAGTAACTTGAAGTAAGGATGAGCAGGCAGCTGCTTTACAAGGAGCGTTCATCCACCATTTTCATGATGTCCTCAACCCAGGAGAGATTTGGATCCACACAGATATGACGAGACTTTTGGGTAACCAGACTGAAAGAAAGAAGGTGAAAGTGTTCATGTCAGTATGTTGGTCAACAGTGTTTTTAATTGTTAAATTTTTTTGAAAGAACAACAAAGTAAAAATTAGAAATTGAGACAAAATTAGGATTAACTGTATCATCAGATATGGAAAACGTAATAAATAAAGTAATTTATGCAATGTACCTCATATCTAATGTGAAAATTAATAGAGTGTGCAGGATGTGTTAAACATGAACCTATTTTTTTTGTTTGTTTTTTTAAATGTCCATGAAATGTAATTGATTTACAAATAGTCACACTGAATAATACACTTATGTAAGGTCCCTGTATTAAAATAAACTTTCAGCACTTACATGGTTCCAGTTTTTGGGCACCGGTAATCAGTCATGTAATATGAAGTGATGAGGTTTTTGTTCAATCTTCTTGGGTAGAATTTGAAGCAGCAGTCATCAGGACCAATTCCATCTAAGAAAAAGGCCATAAATGTATTATCATGATGTCCTGAGAACACCTCTAACACAGAATATGTTAAACTTATTAAGGTTATGGTCATCTTACTGCTGCAGATCACGGAGTCCAGCAACGCAGCTCCCAGGATGCAGAGGAGAAGGATGTGACTGGTCCTCATGATGACTCGATATTCTTCTGGATGCGATGATGGAGATGGGCACAACTGCTCTTTGCCTGCAATAAAGGGCTCCTAAACAAAAGGTGGTGTGGTGTCACGTTTATTAAGATCAAAAAGGTTAAAAGAAAAAAAGGTGCAACTTTGCGGAAAGGGGAGGGCGGTTGTGGTGTCAAGGGGACCGAAGCTGCCTATGACAGAAACTTTCCACTTGGTTTTTACAAAGGGTGAGTGGTAGATTGCAGGAAATACACTTGTGGTTAGTACCGAGACTAACTAACTCAAAGCATGACGGTAAAATACAGCAAAACCAACAGCTACAATATTTCTCTTAATTTATTATAAAATTAAAGGTTTACAACTCACTGTAAATGATTTGCCCAGCACAAAACAGCTAACAGTTAACGACTAACTGGTGAAAATTGTTTGGATTTACAGATCAGACATGCTGCACCCGTATATTACCACTAGGCCTTTAAGATCTTCAGACCCAGGCCTACTAGTTATACCGCGTACACATCTAAAAACTAGAGGTGACCGTGCTTTCCAAGTGGTTGCACCAACGCTGTGGAATACTCTTCCGTCAGACCTACACTCTGAGGTCTCAGTCGAAGCATTCAAAAATCAGCGGGAGGAATTTTTTTAAACAGGCCTTTGTCTCCCTGTAAACTTTTACCTGTGAATAGTCATGTTCTCTTTAAAATACAAAATGCCTTAATTTTGATTATTTATGTGCCTTTCAACATACACAATTACATTGATTATTTTGATTGATGCCTTTATAATGTTTGATGCTTATTTATGACTGCCTGCTCCACTGTTTTATTGTTGCTTTTGTTATTATAATTGTTTTGTTTTTTGTAAAGCACTTTGTGACTTGTTCTGTGAAAGGTGCTATATTAAATAAATTTTACTTAGTGTGTTCATTTTTCCAGACGTGACTTGGCAGAAACATGCTCCTACCCTACACGCTACCGAGAGTTGGCCGTATGTGGCATTCAAGTTTTACTTGATAAAGTACGTTCAGGGTTGCTTTTAACTACACGTTCGCAAGATAGCTGGCAAGCGTATCCTGTGCTCCTTTGGAACATAGGTTGTGCACGTCTCCAGCATTGTTAAAAAGTGAGTATGTCAGGGGCTTAACATTTCAGTACCATCATTTTCCATTAAATATGAACACTGAACTGCTGATGGTTGAATATGTATAGCTCTTTATTTTAATAAAACCATTGTTTAAACACACTTCAAATTAGATACAGCTGCATGGTAATCCTCTGCTGTCTCCATCTATGTCTATCAGTCCTCAACAGTACACAGGTCTCTTGAGGGAAAAAACAAAAGAAAATAGACAACAAAAAACAACTAGAAAGAAATTACAGATATCCTCCATATCAAAAAGATAATCAGGAAACAGCTCACTACACTTTTTATTCAAATTGTGTTTGATTGAATTTTGTTTTCGACCACTGTGGATCATACAGTGTGATACAAGGGCAAGAAGTAGGTAGTGTTGGCAGAGCTGGGAGGGTCAATTCATCCACAGGCCAGACTTTAAAAGGTAGTTACAATCAATTTGTAACTAACAGATCTCATACTGGAAATGCCACTTAACCACATAAACATGTAAAACACACACACACACACACACACACACACACACACACAAAAATAAAGGATGGAAAACAGACAACCCATTAAAACCTGCAAGTGATGAGAAAGTGATGATGCAAGACACAACTCAAAGGCTTCCAATCAATGTGCAAAAGGCTTTATTGCAATGGTGTGTAACCACACCGGGGGTGGGGGGGCTGTGGGAGGGAGGAGTGCATCGAGAAGAGTGATCAGAAAGTCTGCTGCATGGTGCTGAGCTGATGCAGACACTGAAACCCAGACAGTGAGTCTGCTAGCAGCCGTGAACCAGTAGACATGATGATTTACAAATAAAAAGGCGCTTTCTGTATTTTAATAATAATATCACTAATATTACAGGGCACAAAAGGGAAGTAAACTCCATCTCACACACAAAGTCAGTAGCACAACACATCAGATGCAGCAGCTTCACAACCTTTAACGGGACTGTCGCTGCGTTCACACTGAAAAATACCATCAGCAGTTTGTTTTGTTTCAAGATTGCTGAGAAAAATCTGACAACCGAACTTGGGCAAAAACACACTTAACAAACTGCTGCTTTACTTCATGGGATCAACAGTAAGATGGTACTTCATATCTAATTATCAAGAAATGCTGTGTATTAACTTAGCACTGCCTAGCCTATGTGAGTGCATCAAAACAATGCTGGTAAGAAATTTCCCTCACGAGTGACACATTAACCGTAGTGTGAATGCAGCATCTCGAGTTCTGACCCTCTGACAACCTCAAAGAACAGCAGCCACAAAGCCTGACAGATGACACAGTAACACCTGAGGACCAGGTGTTACCACCAACATGCATGTATGTTCTGCTTGACAGGAAATAACAAAAACCTGAAATTCTAACAGCACTCTGGGATTAAAAACAAAACTAGTCATCTATTTTCATGCCACTGTGAACAACCGGTCAGATAGCTGCAGTTAAAGCACAAACTCGCTACAGAAACTACAGGTTTGCCACTCGACAAAGGCCGTGCAGTGCCCAGGACCTGATCGTCAACAACACGCTTTGTGTGCATATGTTGACATCTCTGTGAAGGGCTGCGACTAACAGTTACTTTATTTGACTGGAACAAGCTCTGTTTATGTCCCATCATCCTTTTGATAAATATTAAATAAACACAACATTGAACGACATCACACTCACACCAAGACATCAGGAAATCAAACGAGCTGAAATGTACCTCAAACATATTAAGGGCACGGTAAGCCCACGTCTGACACTATGTCGTGTGTGTGTCTAAAAGCAACACATTACCTCATTAACCAGTTTCATCGACATAAACATACTGCAAAATGTATTTTACAGGCAGCTTACGGCCCTCTTTGTAGAGGATTAAAACATTTCATTCAATGTAACAGTGCGGTGCTCTCAGAGACACCAAGTTTGTCTTCAGGTGTTGGTCGTGGATTTTAACTCACAAAACTCTCTTCAAGGCTCAACTCAGTCAACTCAGAGTTGACTTCAGGGAATGGTTCAGGAAATAAATCTTTACTGGCTGGAAAACACGCAAATGAAAAGCACGCCGAGGTCAAAAGACAAAATCAAACTCAAGAGGACATTGAAGGAATGACTGAAGTTTTGAGAAAAAAAAGGTGCAAAAAACACACAGAGAGACAGAGAGACAATGTTCCACTTAACACATTTCAACACACATCTGACCCCGGAGATGTCATTACAGGACATTACTATTACTTACCCTGACTTTTGTTATTGGGGGAAAAAGAAAAGAGGAATTGTAGCTCGCGAGAGTGTTGACAGCAGGGGATTTCAAGCTAAGTGGAACAGTTGGGTAGTAACTGGTATGTCAGTGGTTTCCTCTGGTCAGTGGAGACCTGAGACAGCCTGTATGCGAGTGTGTGATACATTCTTCAGCCTCTGCCACCTTCATTTCTCAGTCAACAGAGGAGGGGTGACAGAGTTCCTTTTCACCCTCCTTCATCTCTGACAGACCCCCGTCCTGGTTCAAGTTTGAGCAGTAACACGGCTCAGGTCTATTACAGCGGCTACAACCAGGTATGTTACGGTGAAGTTGAACAAAGGTCTTTCAAAAGGTCCAGATGTTCCTAGTGGAGTCTCTTAGTGTGGGATGACTTTCCTCTGATCTTAGGCTCAGCGCTTCAGCACCGGGCTGCCTCGCTCCTGATCTTTCTGTAACGCCTGCAGGACCTGAGGAGACGGAGGGATGTACAGTTAAAAAAAAGAACCCAACAACACACCAATAAATCGCACAAAACAAAAACCCCTAAACCGTATAATGCCCGACCTGCGCCCACTTCCTGTTGTGACTGGTCATGTGAATAGCGGCGATGTGCTGAAAGAGCTGGTCCGCGGGGATGAGGTCGGGCAGGCGGGTGAGGAACTGGGCCATGTGGATGAAGTCCATGCTGGTCAGGATGTCCTGGTAGAGACGCAGCAGGCCCATTGCCGTGCGGAACAAGAACTCCTCGCCGTCTCTGCAGAACACATCCCACACCCGACACGCCAGGTCCAACGGCAGCGACTTACTGTACAGGGTGAAGATCCTGGAGGGACAAGGTGGATTTTTGAGATACATTTGGAACCATATACACTAAAACATTAAAAAACATTTAAATGTTGGTTTCGTCCGTAGTCACACACAGCTTTAAAAAAAAGAAGAAAAAAAAGTGACACATAAACTTGGGGTTTGTTATCATGAGGCAAGAGTTAGCGTGTTCAGCACTGGTGAAATTAATACTTAATACTTCCTACCAACATGGCTAATTAACTAGCTAACATCAGCTACTTTCACTCGTCACGTAACTTTGCAGAACAGGAAACGGTAGAGTACTACAATAATTACACGTAGCTGGTATCATGTCTGTACTTTTGTTTAAGTCTTGAATTGATTTTATAGCATTTTTTAGTATTATTATTCTTAGCAGCAGTAGTATATGTTGTTGCTTAAAAATTAAATATGGGAAAAAGTTGATGTTTTTTACCCAGACATTTTAGAGCTGTAATCTCAATACTGCAAAGTAGTTCAGATGTCAGTGTTAGAGAAGTATGACATGGCTAATGTTTTGTAGTCTCACTTTAAATAAAAAACATTCATCATAATTCACAATATTTAAAGGGGACCTTTTATACTGCATTTCCAGCTCTACATTGTAGTTCTGTGACTCCTTTCTGGTAGCTTTAGATGATTCATGTTCCTATCTTACAAAGGCCCTTCAGGCCCCTCATTTCAGCCTGCCTGACACATGCTCCTGGCTCTTTAAGCCCACTGTCTTCTGATTGGCCAAGACCCTGAAGTTTGTTTACCAGGTTGTTGTTTGCCCAAAAAAAAAGAACCGTATCTTGTTTGGCTTTCTTCATGTTATAAGCTTGGTGTAGTGTGACTAAAAGAAAGTGTGTGTCACAGACCCCTGCTCACACTGACAGCCCATCCTGTTCAGTCAGAAACACACGTTTCACACTGAAGCTGCGACGGGCTCAGTGTGACCCAAGTGTTATGTTTTGAGATAATGACATGCAACACGTTTCTAACAGGAAGGAGAACAATGTGCACCCTGCACGCAGGTGGAGAAACTCACCAGTCGATTAAATAAATATCAGGAGTCAAGTTGTTTTTCTTGAAATGTGCAAAGAGCTTTGGTAGATTTTCTTCAAAGAACACTTCAAATGCTGAAAAGTAAGTCAACATCTGTGGAGAGAGGAAAAGGTGGTCGTAAACACAAAAACCACATTGTGTTTAATGAGTCATCTGTAGGAATGGACCAGTGATTTAAATATTCAGTTTAATGCTCCTTAAATTCGCTGAGACTGCAGATGATTGCCTCTTTTTGAAATATGTAAACCCCTATAACATTTTTGAACTATTTGGATTTTTAATAATCCACCTGGAGGGTCATATTATATATTATAAGTGTTGTTCTAGTCTGTGGACAAATCAATTTTGTGCACATTTTCCTTCACCTGACCTAAATATAAGACGGGGTGTTCACACAACTGCTTATCTGCTTCAATATACTGTTTCCAAAGTCAATATAAAACAGCTCAGGTAAACAGTCTGATCTATTATCAAATCAAGCGGTAATGGCGGTACGTGCGTGTGTGTGTGCTCGTGTACTGACAAGGCTGTGGTCGACTCTGAAGAAGGCCATCTGACAGGGCTTGTTGAGCAGGTTGGCAAAAGCTATAAAGGCATCGGCTGTGTCCAGGTTCAGGATCAGCACTGCTGCGATAAACGACATTCCCTGCACCTAAACACACACACACACACACACACACACACACACACACACACGACAGAAAATAACAATTACAACACTTGTATGTGTACACTGCCACCTGCTTAAAGTGAATTTTGCACTGCACAACCCATTTCATTTCATTTCAAACAGTAATTTACAATCACAAACAGGTCAGCGTCAGTCTGGATATTTCAGCTGCAAAGAGAGGTGAAATGCTGATGCAGACTGATGCAAAGAACACAACTAAAAAAAACCTGCACACTGAGGTAAATGCATATATTTTGTGCGTGTAGCAGTTCAAGGGTTGGGGTCAGTGCAGGAAGTCACAGTCATTTCTACCTAAGAACTGACAGCGTGGGCCTGCAGTGGGGAGCAGCACAGCAAACCACAGAATCTACAAGCCCAGTGTGCCTCTGAAGAGCAACAGAAGCTCAATAAAGAAGTTCTATGTAGGAGCACAGGTTAATACAGTCATCATCAAAAGGGGGTTAACTTGACCTGCGCAGAGTGCTAAAGTCCGGACGTTCTCTATTCACCTGCTGAACACAGATGTGTGCATCTAGTTAGTGCTGTTTTATCGCTACAGACCTGGGAACACTACAATTGTTGCCATGACTGCACAGGATTTAATGAGACCTCACTATGCAAATGAACAAATATCAAATACACTGAAAACACCATAAATAACAGCAGGTTGGTTGTTAAACGTTTAAGACAGCTGACTTCTGACCAACTGAATACAGTTTCAAAATTCCTAGTGGTTGCAAGCTCTACAAAATGAATACACCTTCAAATTAAATCATTCTGATCTATAATGATTTATTTATTGTCTTTATAATTATTTATAATGATAATGATTATTTCAGCTGTCAAATTCAGCCAGTTTTCACTAGATTCTGTACCCATGAGCAAAATACCTGCCACCTCTGGCTCTGGCAGCGGGGCACCAGACGGTGGCCTATCAGATTTTTGGGGAGGCCTGTGCCACCGTTTTGGTCCCACTCCCGGGTGTACCGGCACATCTCTAACATCTTTTCACGTCTCTGTCACAGTTTAAATGTCCATTGGAAGCATTTCAGAGTGTTTTAAAGCGACATTATGTAAGATCTGGTGGGATTTGGCGCCTCTACCGTTTCAAGTGCATCAGCAAGTCGCGCATTTTCTTCTTAGCTTCCTCCATCACCGTCCTCCTCGGTCTGTTCCCCTCTGCTATTAGTGAACGTTATGTCCACTGAGGCTGCTGAGCCCGGTTATGTTGCCTGCTTTTCCTTCTCCATCATAACACAGACACTGCGTTCTACTAGCAGTTATTATATGAACTTAGAAGTAGTAGAATTCCTGCACACTGTCAGCGCTGAGTTAATTTGCGATGATTTGGTCTTTTTGTGTGATTTTATTTGTGCGTTACATAAAACCTTGGTTTACCTGATAATAAATATAGTTTTCTAAGATGATTTCCCACTTCGAAGACACGAGCTGTTCCCGCAATTACACACCCAGGAGAGAGCCACGAGTAAAGATGGTCCGCGCACACCGGCTTGAATGGCAGTTATTTATCTCCGGCATCATACAAAGGCCGCATATCTTATTCTCCTAAAATCAGAGAAGCCTCAATACTCTCTACCCACCCTCTTAACTAGACACCACACACAGTGTGGAAATCAAATACCAGAAGCTATCAGTCATCTCGACCACAATGAAACTCAAGTTATTTAATGGTAATAACAGATTATGTAGGCGTTACGTGGTAGAGCCAGGTCTGCGTTGTGTCATTTTTACCCTTCATAATACGCAAGTAGTACTACTACTGTATAAAAGCTCAAAGCTGACTTACTATTACTAAAGGTCACTACAGCCTATTTACTGATCTGCAATTTAATATTAACACCATATAAAGAGACGCATGTATCACACATACATGAAGACCCAAAAAACAATACTCGGTGTTGATTGTTGTGCTGATCTGTGTACAATTAAGACAACAACGTGAGGCTTCATGACTGTTTTCTTAAAAACAGTAGACGAAGTGGGTATAAAACAATAACAGGATGTAGTGCTGTTTGTGTGTAAGTGTGTATGAGACTTACGTAGCCAACATCTGGCCGGTAACAGGTGTATGCTCCCAGAATGCTGTGTAGTACATCATGGTATGGGCCGCCCTGATGAATGAACAACATAATAAAGTCATTGGCTATCAAACAGGCTAAAAATACACTAATACACACAGAGCTTCACAGTTTCTTGCAAGGTTAGCAGGCCAACACTGTACTGAAGAGATCTGCCAATGAGACGCATTCGCTCATTCATACTGAACCAAAGTTTGCAGCATAATCCCCCAACCGTGTCTGACCAGAGGCTTGACTATAGACAGAAAAGGACTATAACATGTAACACAACAGTGTTGGTGTCTCATGTGACATTCAAGATATACGTCACCTTGCTTTCATTACAACAATGGTGGGTGAACATTGTAGCAAGTCGCTTTGTTAGCCGTGCACATTTATTCCAGTCTTTTTTCTTGTTTTAGGGGTGGGTGGAGATGGTAAAGTGGATAAGACACATGCCTTTGGTGTGAGAGACCCAGGTTCAATTCCCCACTATGACACATCCACCAATGTGTCCCTGAGCAAGACACTTAACCCCTAGTTCCAGAGGCGTGCGACCTCTGACTTACTTAGCATTTGTAAATCGCTTTGGATAAAAGCGTCAGCTAAATGAATAAATGTAAATTTTATCTTTATCATTTTTTTATTATTAAATAAAAAGAAATATAGTGTTCATGGAACAAACAGAGGTATACAGAACAGTATTCAAGTATATCAAAAGACACAAATAACAATATCATTGCCAGGGGTAGGTCTATATTATGCTAACAGTTTTAATAAAAAATAAATAAATAAATGATATAATGTAATGTACAACCTCATGGAGGAAGCGTACAAAGTTTTTACTGCTGAATTTATATTTATAAACGTGGAATTTTGCATTATAAAGTACTCATTTTCTTTACATATCGGTTCCAATATGATATAAGTTGGAATAGATAACTTGGAATTTTTTTCTGAAACAAGGCATGTATGTTCTTATTATTATTTCAAAGATGCGGAGAGAAACACATTTTTCAAACTGGTGACTCGGCTGCACCGGGGAGGGAGTGGGAAGTAAGTGGAGCCTATATTTCAAAAAAGTCTACTAGTCTGCCTGTATTTCTAAAAAGCATTGTCGTGCCTGGTGGAAGGGCGTCAAATACTTCTGCAAATTTGTTTGGTGCAACTGGAATATTGTATGTTGATAAAAACCCTCTCCATTGAATAGCTGGTTCACCAGTATAATCAGATTCTGAACCCATTTACATTTATATAAAATATCTATTATTATGTGTTTATAAATCAGTTAGCACAGGGAGTTTGCCCACATTGTAATTACAATTTAAAATAAAGCTCAGACCACCAAAACAAAAGAAAATGTGATGGGGAATAAAATTCCAGATTGAGACAGATTTTACTGTCCAGGTGTAAAGAGAGAGCAGTGTTTGTGAGCTGAGATATCTCCTCAGCGTTGGTAAGTAACACACTTTCAGAGATAAATCCCTTTGCAAACACTGATTTAATATTTTTTAATGATTGGACAAATATTTAATGAACATCTTGCTTTCTGATCTTCCTTGGACGTAGTGAGCGTACATTACAGTCTTTTAAAGGTAACGGTTCACACTTATTTATATTTATTAAAGCCCAGAAGCCTGTGAGAAGTTGTTAATTACATGGATGGCTTGCAGTTTTGTTTTGAAGATTGTGGTTTCGTCAGCAAGTTGACTGATGATTGCATCCCTGCCCGCAATGGAAATTCCTTGAATAGCACAGGTATCGACGACATGGGTTCTGAGAACTTGTGTACAAAGTAAAAACATGAATTCCCCGTTTCAAATTAAATCTATGGAAAGTTCCACTTTTCAATTTGATAGAACTGTTTTCCATTAAGAGTTTTAATTGCTTTGCAATAATTTTTCATAATTTTCATATGAAAGAAAGATCAATTGGTGTTCTATTGTATTAAAGGCCTTACAAAACTCTAGGAAGAAAAGACGCTTCACATATCGAGTCAGAGTAGTTAGGATTATTTAACAAGTCTAATATTAGAGATGTGGCTGTTCCTCAAAGCCTGACTGTGTCTCTATAATTGTGTCGAGAACTTCATTAATTCTCCTGGCACATTTATGGCTTCACACCCAAGTGAAGTTGCTGTGCATCATACGCAGCATGCAGATGCATCCAGTGGTAGCCTCGTACCAGCAGCGTGTTTGTGTGATCAGGGTCGCACATACAGTACGTCATCAAAATGTCACACCTGTTACGGCATTCCAGGTATGTCCTTTTTCACACAGACAACGTTCCGGCTCTGTTACTACCAATGTTGATCAAATCTGACTCCCCCTTACCGGCTCCGTACCTCGGCATATTGGCGCAGTACTCCCGGAAAATCATTCAGCGTGAAAGCAACTATTTTCATAATGAAGACACATTTTTTGTATAGCACAAAACATTAGTATTGTATGAGGTAGCTGAGCTTCTCTCACTGACCTGCTGGAAGATACACAGGTGGGGGAAGGTTCTTGAGATGTCCAGCTTGATCAGCTCCAGGCTTGATTCCCGATCTGATGAACCAGCATCTGGAAGACATGGCAACACATCAATAAACACACAGAGAAGAAAAAGTTGAAACCTGCCCCATAATTTCTCTAATCCGATGACGCAGTAAATTTAAATTGAACATTTTTTTTGTTTAGCCAAGATGAGTTCAGTCACACTGATGAATTACTATGGCCAACACTGTAGGAGACCGACAAAAAAATTGTTCTATTCTGTCTCTACCTGCAGTGTCAGTCTCTGAGGAAGGTGCTGGTGTTGTCCTCCACTTCTCTTTTGCCCGGGCCAGACAGATGTTATACAGCTCTGCAGGGACACGCAACAGCACCACAGTACAGTCAATTTGAGAGTAAGTGAGTAGGGCAGAGGCTACAAGAAAGTGCGTAGAAAACAAGATGACTGGACAGAAACCAATTCAGGTGATAAAAGCATTCAGCTCTTCACTTTACTCTGCAGGAAAAAGTTCTTCCTCCATTGTCAGAAGACATTTATTTTGTTGCAGTTCACTGAAGCTCCCGGGCTGTGCTTTGACCTGGGGCTGCCCTCTAGTGATGAGATGCTGAATCAAAATAATTAGGTTTCTGAGACCTGACATGGAGCTCTGCACTACTGACCCTGAGCTTGCACAGCAGCAGATTAATATTAACTGCAGAAGATGGCAAATACAGGCCATGCTGGACCGGCTCGCAAGGAGCTGAGAACTGCAATGTGTGACTCTTGAATCCGGATATCTTATGCTTTATTTGTTCACAGTGTGGGAAAATAGCACCATTCAAAGTATTGAAAGTGCTAAATTAGCTATTAGTTCCTGTTACTGTACACAATGATGCACACACCGCTATCACCGGACCAGCATGCACCTGTCCCTTTCACCTCACGTAGAACTGCCTCGACCTAGCGTTAGTATTTAATTTTTAATGTATTATTGTACATTAATAGCATAATAGAATCTTTCCATTACCATTAGAAGTAGTGGTAGTTGGCAGTACTAGCAGTAGGAGTAGCATTAGCAGCCTTAATAACACAACTTTACTTAAAGGGAGACAGTGTCGGTGAGCCATCTATGAGAAGTCAAACGACTTTGTATTGGACCGAGCTTTGTATGAGGTGTGTGTGTGTGCAGAGTGATAATACATGGCACTGTGCTCCACTTAAAAGGCTGAGTCACAGAAAGCAGAGTGGGCCAGCTCAGCAGTCAGCGAGCGAATGCTTATCTGCAAGTAGCCCCGAGGGTACTGAGAAGCTTTCTCTGAGTGATTTGAAGTTGGTGCTCCCTTAGTAAGTAGAGAATGAATTTGCTGTGTGTGTGTGTGCGTGTGTGTGTGTATAATCTCCATCCAGACTTGAGAGCTCACTGAAATGCTGCCTCTTGTACTAAGGAAATCATTGGACCATGCTCCTTCTTAATGGATTCTATTATCTTAACTCACTGACACTTCTTACAAATACAATTAGACAAATTGCTACATGCATCTGTGTGTGTGTGTGTGTGTGTGTGTGTGTGTGTGTGTGTGTGTAGCCTGTTCTATCGTGTTGAATAAACCAACAAAAAAGTAAAAGGTCATTAAGGTGTGATTTTAAGAGAGGAACAAAAACCAGTCAATTAACAAAGCAGGACATGACCGTCACAGGTTACAACTGTGTTATATTAAAGGTCAAGTGTGTAATATTTAGGATCTATTGACAGAAATGCAATATAATATCCATAACTATGTTTTCAGCTGTGTATAATAAAGTCCTTAAATAATGAACCGATATGTTTTATTACCTACTCTACAGAGCACGTTTCGTCATTATGATGAATACGTACGAAGAAGGAGGAGGAAGGACAGGAAGTAGTCGTAGTCTTTTCTTCTCAACATAAATAACACACACTCAGATGCACATGTACCATGCGTGATGTTGAGCTCGTTGCCCACAGCCAGGCTCCACACCTTGCCTCTGACACTGGGGGGGATGCCCTGCCACCAGAGGTCTCTCACTCGTCGAGATGTACACCTGGAGGAGGGTTTAGCACATCAGAGGCTCCTTATCAGTTGTGTTTAATAAGAGGAAGGCATCATTTATCAATCAGAGCCCCAAGGTTCTGCATTAGTGAATAACACTAATCCATAACTAGGTACTAAGCCCTCTGAAATGTAATATTGTGTCGTGTCATAAAATGCCATATCCTGTGTTTTGTGCATGTTAAGGACATACGCTGAATACCCCATACGTTTCCAGCATCTTCATTAGTAGAGGCATGCCTGACTTACTGACCAGCACATTATTTGCACACAAACATAGGTTACACTCCACTCCTATGGATTTAGCCTTTAATTCTGTCTTCTTGCGTACTGCTTGGGCCAGATGTTCGATGAGTGAACTGAAGAGATTGGGGCTGACAGGGCAGACCTGCCTGCACAGTGTTAGGGAGTTAGAAAGGCTACAATTGACCTTTATTCTTGCAGTAGGAGAGGAGTAAAGTCCCTGAATGCAATGTATAAAATCGTCACTAAAGCAGAATCTCTTCATTGATAGCCCAAGAAACTCCCTAATAAAGGTTACGTTTCCAAAGAAGACTACTTGGAATATCAGTGTTTTTATCATTCTGAGCTCAGTCTTCGTTTGTACTCACACTGTACTCCAATTAGGCAAGATCTCCTGGTTCCAGGTCTGGGCGGCTGTTCCAATGCTCTCCTCAAGCTTACACCGATCCTCCAGCTGCTTCCTTCTCTTCTGGGCATCCTTCAACTCTACAGACAGGAGTGTGAATAGAGGTGGTTAGATACAAAATACAACCAGGCAGAGGTAGAGTTTGTTGAACCATGTAGTAGAGAAAGGTGGAGGAAAAATAAACTGCATGTGTTAGTTAATGAATGAGGGATGAAACAACATTGTTATCCAGCTTTACAGATTCCAAGGATTTCTCTAGTCAGGTTAGTGATGCTTCGTTTGCAGCTCTGGTGGACTCCAGTGCTCCTGTGATGACCTCACTTTGTGGGGCTTAAAGCTCTGGAAGAAGATGGTAAGAGAAGCCTTGATTACTTTAGTCAAATGAGCTCACCTCTCTTCTTGGCCTGGGCCACCATCTCCTCATACTGCTGTCTGTGTTTCTGTGCCTCCTCAGCTGGCTTGGCAGGCAGATTACTGTAACACAAATACATCAACACAAAGAAATGAGTTGTGCGTTCTGTCAGCTTGACTTTCATTATTCATGTTGAGCAAGCTTGTGTGATATAAAGAGAGGAAATACACAGACAAAGGAACAGACCTTGCTCTTGTAACTTTTGTGTTTATGAAGTGAACTCTATCCTGTGCTGTGCATATATACAGCTCCATATGATTCAGTGGTTGTACACATTTGATCATGCTACTAACTTGAATTAAAATACAATTTTTTCTTCTATGCACCATTAAAGAGAGCCCATGAGTCTAATGGTGCTTTCAGACCAAAAGTGAAGCGGTTCCACTGTTGTTGTTAGCGTCGGTTGGCACCCTGAGCTCTGTTGGACTACTACTTCATATTTATATAAAAAAACTGGACATTACTTGGAGAAAAGAAAGCGAGAAAGTTGAACTACCGGATGAGTTCAGAAAATATGTGTCTGTAACTTTATTCCAGCTATGGTTGTACTTCACTGTGAACAAGTTAGCATAGCATTGCCCCGATCGATCCAAACTCCATTCAGAAAACAAACAGTTTAGAAGTTGTTCTGCTGTCTCATTGACACACCTGACAAAGCATGAATTCATATGTTTAACAAATCAGCATCATATTGGAGTTATTTCAGCATCAGTTTGATCCGTTTTCTTGCAATTAAATCACAGCAAAATGTTTACTTTGGGTTCATACAGCTGTAGTAATCGCGAGTTGTGTTTGTTTGCGTTATCACGTTGTGTCTGAACCCCTGCTAGGAAAGAGTTGCGAGGATTAAATTCACATTTGGTCTGAATGCACAGTAAGGGTGGCATTGCAGGTTGTTTGTCAGTCAAAGAGTCTCTTTAAGACACTTAGCTGATGTGGTGTTGGATTGCTGCCTGACTTTGTCATCTGATCCATTGCTTTTTTTCCCCACTCTACACGTATAAAGAGATGGTGCACTCAAATTTTACTCCATAACACAGAAGCTTGTGTGCATATTTGTTACCAGTAGGGGGAGACAGTGAAGAAGGGAAAGAGGTGGGAGTTTCATGCAGCAAAAGACCTGAGCAGCAACTGACTTCACAATTTTTGCCAGTCATGGTGTCAGTATAAACTTCCTTGTGTACACTATTATTTTCAGTGGCCATGTTCCCCAGAAGAAGTGCTAATCTTGTAGCTGGGAGGCACCACTGAATGAAAGATGAAGCCCAGCATTCTGTCTGCATGTTCACAAAATGTAAAATGCTAAAAAAGCAGGGTAATGGAGCCAGACTGATGGAGGATCATTAAACTTTCAGCAGCACCTCTTTTAGTCTCTTAGAGTCTGTGATACAGAGACATAGTGGGAGCAGGAACAATACTGAATGGAGTCTGATGACAGGGCAGAGGAAGGAGGGGATGATAGAAAGACAACAGACGTGGCTTTAGTGTCTAATAAACTCCTCTGGCACTGAGGGAGAATGAAAAATGTGGGATTGTCTCACAACCCGAAGATCTAAGACGGTGTGCGTCTGTGTGTGTTTACATACGCAGGTCTGTCCTCCAGTATAAGTGCGGTGGTGGAGAGGGGTTCAAAGTCCAGATTTTTCCTCACACTCTGCCTGGGAGACGTCGGGTTGCCGGGTCCAGCTCTGCCACTCTTTGTTTCATATTCCTGACAACAAAATAAACACATGATTTAGAAACAGAAACTAACAACTACAAGTGGAGTTTTAATATACAACAGCTTTACAGAGAACACAACTAGCTTTTGACCTCAGTTTCTTTAGGGATATATTTAGTTTCACATTGCTGCTGGCGATGAAATGTCTGCAGCATTTACACACACACACACACACACACACACACACACACACACAGTGAGGACTATAGTGAGGGAAATAGGTGGATTAGTTGCTTTATAATCCATGTCAAAGTACAAATAGGACATGCATCCAGCTCCGAAGCCAGAGAAAATTGCCACAAGGGTCACAGTTGACCTCAAAACTAATGTTGTGGTGAGAGACAGACAGCTAAGGTTTAATGGATGGGGAGAGGAAAGAAAGGAGATGAAAGCACTTAAAAGAAATAATATGAGAGAGGACTTGTCACATGGAAACACTGAGAAATGTCTTGACAACCTTGTGACAATGCTCTTTTGGCCTCTGAGCATTTGTCAGCTCGTGTCTAATGAGTGTGTGAGTGTTGCTTCACCACTGGGAGTGGAATAAAACCTATAGAAAGAGGAGGCCATGTGACTTACAGTCTGTTAAAGGCTAAGGCCTCAGAGCAGTTTAACACAAGGCCAACCATCAGCTGACTTACACATTGTGTGTGTGTGTGTGTGTGTGTGTGTGTCAGAAGCCAGCATTAGGGAGCAGGTAGAGCACTGCTAGTGGAAACTAACAGGTTAATCAGGAAGGTACTGGAACTAGGGCAAGTGCAATATGAGCACCCCCTGAACTATGTGTCCAAAATGGCCTCCAGCGTGCGATGAGCTGGTTAATAATGCAGGCCGAGGACTGCAAGCAATCAGCTTAACGCAGGGACATTCACATTGATCAGCACAGGCCAACATAGACAGGAAAATCTATTCCTACGACCGGACTGTGTGAGTGTGCATGCATGGCTGTTAGTGACGCATCCCGTGGCTCGTGTCCTGTCTTTGTGTTGCCGTCTGTTGCACCAGGGCCTGTTCTTCATTGACCCTAGGGGACAAATAAAGGTAACTGACTCAGATATAAGCAGCTGACACAGAAGACCCGTGTGTGTACTTCCCACTACTGGTCCCTTCTTTAACCCACCAAGCTACAGGTTTGGTCCAAATCACCCTCAGGCTGAGCACTGACGCTTTCCATCAACACAAACAAGTTTTTAGGCCCACACCTTTCCACATTTCTAGACCCAATCTATGATCTCTAAAGCCTGCAGGCCTCATTTATAAGCGAGTGTTTAGGATCCATACTAAAAAATAATGAGATTAAAAACAAACAAACAAAAAAAAACATGTGTGCACACAGGTAGCTTTTCCTTTATAAATCAGTCTACATGGAAATGTGCGCACGTGTATCAGCCTCATATCCAGCCCTCCACACGCCCAAGCACCCCATGAACAATGATGCACATTTGAGCCTGCTTAACCGTGAATCATGGCACAAACAACCGAGAGGAAGACGAAAAAAAAGACAAAAAGAGAGATTTCTTTCTGACACAGATATCTAGGTGCTTGTGTGATGGGGAGGTTAGTTATTGTCTGATGGCAACAGCAGCGGGGTCACACACAAAAAGAAAATGCAGCGAGTTTAACTACATTATATAATTCTCACAAGGGGCTTCAGGCAGAAAGGTAACCTTCATAGATTGTTGATCACATCAAAAACACACCTGTTGGCTAATTCTTACTGGTAACAGCCGGTTGCCAGAAACCTCAGAGTGGTTAATAGCCTACTTGTATTTGTAATGGGATGGTGAGGTTCTCACAGGTTGGTCAGTCTAATGCTGGACCCAGTTTAGAACACAGATCCAAGAGCACATCTCTGGGGAATCTAGATCAGCGTATTACAGGTTCAGGTGTGTTATGTTAATAGCGGTTAATGTGTACTTGAGTATCTAGCATTTAAGCAGAGATGAGGAGCGAGCTACAGAGGTCTAATAAGCTCAATTGTTTCCAACTCCAGCCCCCAGAGTTTTTTGTACCGGTTTTTAGCACCAATACTTTTGATTCCAGCTTTCAGCACTTTTTGCTACTCAATGCTCAGACATATTTCAGTGGGTATTAAAAAAGTACTTATGTTTAATACAGAGACCTTTCCATGTGTGCAATCTTGTGTTCAGATCTCACCTAAAAGAAAAAATAAATAAATCACACGTGTATTGTGTTTTTCTCATTAATGATAAGAAACCCCTGTTGTCCCCTCACTTATAGTGTGGACTGTTACTCTTTCTGTGTATGGGGTAGTAGTTATTGCTGGAGTTGTATCCCATGACAGCCTGCAGCCAGGGCAACCAGCTTTGTCACGCTGGTGTTCAGCAAACTTCTCAAATTCCCTGGTACTGCTGTATAAGAGCTCTATGGTTCCTGGCGGCTCTGACTGACTGACTAGCTGTCATGCTGGCTGCTAATGGCCTTTATGGCGTAAAATTATAGACATAAGGAAGACACTTTTTTTGATTTAAAATGTGTCTGTTAGCATCACACCCTGCGGCTTTACAAAGTCTCACACAATTGGCTAATTGCATTTGTTATGATGAGCAACTGGAGGCAAGTTCTTTCTGTATGCAAAGTGGGCTTGAAAGTACACCATGGTTGCAAATGTTGGTAGAGCTGTCCTCCTGTGTTGCCTTGGATTTGTACCTATGCATTATGTTCTCATGAAAACACCACTGGCTTTCTCTAAGCTGCTAGATGAAAGGCCACAGCAGGGTACTCAGCCTGGTTCACTGCACACCAAACTTCAACAAGCATCTTTTAACTGGAAACCATTTTAGGCAGTTCCATATTTTTTTTTCCCCCAGAGGTCATTGAGCACAATTCAAAGTGGGAATGAGTCAGACGGCTTCTGTGTGGTTGGCTGCATGTCGGTGTGCGTGTTTGGCAGCAATTGCGGGTCAGGTTACAAATTCACTAATCACAACTGTTACTCAAATTCCATCACGATTTCATTTATTAACTTCAATTACGTAAAGGAATCTTAATATAAAGGAAGCACTTACTCCTCAATCTGTGACTCATCGCATTTACTGTAATGGGCTACTATCAATTTGTAAGGTAGAGCCACTTATCAGAAGGTCGGTGGTTCGATTCCCAGATCCTCCAGTCTGCATGACTAAGTATCCTTAGGCAAAATATTGAACCCCAAATTGTTCCCAATGGCTGTGGGTGAATGCGTATGAATGTTAATTTCTGTTCTGATGAGCAGTCGGCACCTTAGCCTGGGCAATCAGTGTATGAAGGGGTGAATGTGGCGCTTCGAGTGGTCGGAAGACTAGAAAGGCCCTATACAAGTACAGACCATTGAACATTTAGCTCTGAGAGACTGAGATAGAGACAGGACAGAGACTATCGTAGAACGGATGAAAGCCGAAGGTTACTGTAGGTATAAAACCCCATTTAGACTATTTTGATTGGTGAACCCTTACGCACTAAAGGAACATAAATAATCGAGGAATAAATATATATCTGGACTTTAAGACCGCTTCAAAGGAACTGAGTCACCACTTTTCACCCCGTCTCTCTTGTTTATCATACTGGTATCTGACAGAATAATACTTTGGTGCTCATTGTTTCCGTAAAAGTAACGTGTTGTGAAGAATCTACCCGATGTATGATGTGTGGCATGTACATATTGACAAAAGTTAAAACATCTATATTTGTATGCACAATATAAGCAGCTTAGATTTAGCTCAAGCAGGTCTTATACATCCAGAGAACTTAACTATAAAAACCAGACTAGGCTTCTGAAAAAGGAGAAGAAACGACTTAGTGAAATGTCATTTTGCAATAATAAAGCAACACACGGCTGGTTTGGACCCATAGACGTTTTTTGACTTTTCAAAAGTGCCTTGTTTGAGCAGACAGGGAGAACTGGCTGCTCCCCAGACGTTCACAGCAGAGGAAATCACCCGTGGTTTGCAAGAAAAGATAAAAGAAATTTTCCATAAATGGAAGAAACATAGCGAAAAGCAGCTACAAAGTGGCCTGACGGAGGAACGTTTCGACACTGAAGTGTGCAATGAAATCCAAGCATTAATAAAGAACCACAAATCCATTGATAAGGGACAGTGTGGAAACACACCTTATCGTATGTGTACTCCAGGGAGACAAGAATAAGTATAGGTAAGTGGCACATCTTAAGAGCAGTAAATGATGCAGTTGAGGAGTTTGATGCAGATCCACTAAAACGTGCATAGACATGTAGTCTAATGTTGAGGGCACTATAAACTAAAGATTACTCTGCAGACTAACTCAGGTCTTTGTTCACTAAAAAGGCTTCATCTGTCTACTGTCAAGATTTTTGACATTCTGGGAAACCAAAGAAAAGTATAAAATTACAGTATAAGATTTAGTGGCACTGTTTTTCATTGAATACCAAGGATTTCACCAGGTTTCTGTCAGGACCGGCAACCCAAAATCGCACAGTGCAATGGTGCCATCTTAAATCAGATTTTTGTTTCTGTACATAAGTCTGATTTCTTTCAGTGTTTTGATAAGTCTCATTTGCCAGAAACACTGAGACTGAAACAAAGCAGAGTTGTTCCATTCACTAACAAAATTATTGGTTGCGGTGGTGGAAGGTTTAACCATAAACAACCACAATGTCCCTTGCACCACAGACACAGAAATTAACCTTATTATCAACTAAATCCATTTAGTGTTGGATGTGCAAATAAATTAGTCCCACTGTTTTCATATCTGGTCATTGATAGTAACAGAACTGCAAGAAACACCCATTTAACATCTGCTGCAGTCTTGTTGAGGGAATCAAATATATCTAAATGAATTCCAAACAATGATTTCATCTGTTTGTAGTATGTTTTGGCATTCAGCAGCTGACACACAGGTTGAATAACAGGTACATCAAGGGAGCGGAGGGGGAGCATAAGTCTGTTAGTAAGGCTGCAACAATCTGGCAGCTTTGTTGATACAAAAAAAGAAAATGTACAATATCCAGACAA